AACTGCTTGAGACAGGTCTGGGTCACCCCAAAGCCAAAGATTTGGACAGATTCATTAATTCAGCAAAGCAATTAGCAGGACTCAGGCAGCCTGGTGAGCAGTACAAGCAAGATATCCAGCCAGACACCGCCTCCTGACACCCAGCCAGGCTGTGGGGAGGTCTGGCATAGGACTCCTGAGCCAGAGGGGTCCCTTTGGACGGGGAGGAGAGTGACAGAGACTGGCAGGACACTTGGCAGCTCTGCGTGCATAAACCTGCTCCTGTCATCACCTTCTCCTCCCAGCTTTAATAAGCTCTGCCCAGCTTCCAGTAGCGCTGGTTCGTTTGGATGCTGAGTTCTCTTGAAAGAAAGACTAGCAACAAAGCTGAACTGAGTTATTCCCCATCCTGAGTCTTCCTTTTTCTAACAGCATCTCAGCAAGTCTTTCAAAGCAACTTCTGAACTTACCTCCCCAGTGTGAATGTTTTCTTTGAGAACCATGTTTCCGTATGCATAAAACTTTGTTTGTGCAGCAAATGACACACAGGAAGACCTGGGACAAATATGAGCAGCAAAGATAGCTACTGACAGAGAAAGCAGCCCGAGGACCTTTGGAAGCTGCAGCCGTGGATATTTAAATGCTAAGTGATGTATCATCAGCTCCCTGCTGAACTTAAGATGGTTTCATCTTCACAGAAGCAGCAACAACAGCATGCTCACATCAACTTCTCTCTTGCAGTTTGATCAACAGCAGCAGTCATGGCTCCTTATTTTTTAACTGCAATATAATTAGGCACTTAGGAAAATGCCTCTGCACAGTACAGATGCTACAGAGTAATGGCAGGTAGCAGCATGGAGCTCTGCGAGTCAGAAGTTTAGCAACAGCTGAAGGTCCAAGGCCAGCCCAGCTCCAGCAGCATATGCTCCATCAGTGTAGATACAAACACCTGTCTTCCAAACCTGACAGAGATCCAGTGCTGCTGCACGTCAGCCACTAGCACGAGATTTTGCTCTGTTACTCTACACCAAAGGAAGGCTCCCCAAGTCCCATTGCTGGCTGCTCTCAAATGGAAAGCATGCAAGGCAGACTGTACATATTTTCATTTTTGGGGCAGACAAGACTCCCATTTGATCCATCTGGATTTGGAGACTGGACACATAATTCACAACTTTAAACTGACAAGCCAGAAAGCTGCCAGCTAGCCCCTGCCATGGTGAGGGATGTAGAAGTGCTGCTGTCACTGAGCTGGACAGAGCCCATCTGCAGCTGCACTATGGAACCAAGGCTCCCCACCTCACTGGTCACTGCTATGGCAAAGGCAGTTAATCCTTTTTCCTTCCTATTAAATAGCTGCCTTTTCTGCTTCTTCAAAGAATTACACAGCTGTCTAGAATCTCAGCAGAGAGAAACAGACAAAGAAAAAGGTTGGCTAAGAACAAAAACCTGCATGGTAGTGAATGCAAGAAGGAAACAGAAAAGCAGCAAACCACTGAAACCAGCCCAGAAAGACCTCAGCTCTGCTCCACACAGTCCTGGAGCCAGGGCAGCTTCTGGAAGTCCAGGGCACAGCATTACACACATCCACTGCCCTTGCTCTGCCCCAGGCACTTCCACTTGCCATGGCCAAGATGAGATGCTGGACTGGACAAGCCTTTGGTATAAATCATCATGGCCACTCACAGTTGCACATTAGGTTTCCTGGCACTTAGGGAATCTAATAAAGTGATTCTTTACAGAGTTTGCCATTACATTTTTTTTTTCAGCAATGCCTTCCCTGAGGAGCAACTTCTGATGCTAATGTCAAGTGGAAAAACTGCTGGTTGGTGATGTGATTAAATAATCAGAGCAACCCAATTTTCAACCATCAGAAGGAATAGCTCTTTAACAAAGAAGAAGGAAACAAGGTGCCCAAATGACAAAAACAGGTAATGCTTTGTAAATGAAGTATTAATGTGCTTTAGAATGTTGCGCGGAGGCCACATGGAAACATGGTATACAAATGCATTTACACACAAGAGCCCAAAAAAACGATTAGATACAGAAGAGCAGAATGGCCATGACTGTAATAATCTCAAGGGCAGACTCGTCATCATGGCCACCCACACAAACACAAGAAATGGTCCCCGCTTCTTTAACAAGAACCCCATCCAAATGCTTCCAGTTGTCTCTGACATCCCAAAGACTAAGGATCAGGTTTTGGTTACACCAATCAGCAAAGAACGCCTTGAGAAGCAATAGGGTGCTCCTGCATGCTGACAGACTCACCTCCACGCACTTGGAAGAGCTCAATGTAAGAAACAAAAGCAGGTCACTTCTGCTAGGTTGTCCATAGAGCTTTGAATTCATAAAGGTACTATTATCTGGTAAAAGTGCAGTTAGAACAGAAAAGAAAAATTAGAAGAAGCATTTCAAAAATAAAATTCTGCTCTGTGATGGAACTTGAGATGGGAAATGATGCAATCACCAGTGTGAGCATTCATTCCAAGAACACTGCAATGCCACTCATTAAAACCCAAGCAGCCTGCAAGTTCTGACAGATGCAAACCACAAACAGAGAGAAAAGCCCTGCAGACATCTTCATCATTTCCTTAGGTGATACCAAAAAAACACATGGAGGAGCCGGGAGACTTCTGAAGGTGCACGTATCCTTTGTGTCTAGCCCAGCAGTGCCTGGTGTGTTATTTAGTACCATGTGCAAAAGAAGCAATGCCTAACAAATGCGTTAAAGGACTTGGTGAAGTTTCACCAACCTTCTGCAGCTCGTCAGCTGCCCGGCCTGCTGGCAGAGGAGACAGCTGATCTCCCTGCTTCCCGATTGCAGGAGGCAGAGCTCTTCGGGTAACTGTCTCTCTGTGTTTGCATCCAGCTACCTCCAGCAGCTTGAAGCGTGCACAAAGCACAAGGTAGAACTTGATCAAAACCCAGCTCACATTTTAGGCAGCAAGGGAACAACTGTACAAAGCAGCATTACATATACAATAACAATTGAATTTCGTGGAGAGATTTGACAGGTTACAGGTTGATGACACTGCTGCAGTCTCGGTGGAAATATGGTTTGACGCAATTAGCAACCAGGAACAAGAAAAGCAGCAGAATAAAACCGGCAATACACGTATAAAATTTGAGCAACCGTGGGACCGGACACGAGCATAAAAACCCTGGACTGAGCTCAGAACAGGAACAAGATGAAAAAGGAACGTGACAGGGGCAACGGGACCCTGATCTCCCTTCTACTATTTAAAACTGAAGATCCAGAGTGTGAGTGACATCTGCTCCCTCTGGAAAAGAAGGACACAGTTCGCTACACGGATACCAATGGAAGACAGCAGGAAGTCATCCCAGCGCCAGGCAGAGGATAGCAGACTTGGAGTGTTTGGCTGCAGCCTTCCCTGGGCAGTGCCGAGCACATAGCAGTTGGAGTAGCCAGTAGGGCAGCAGCTACAGACACAGAAATCACATCAGGAAACAAGAGAATGTGCAGAGCTGCTGGACTGGTCACACTGCCAACCTGCATCCCTCTGTGGAATGAGCGGAACACATGTACTAACAACACAAGCCACACAGCCACCACAAGATTTCACTTCAGCCAAACCTGCAGCAGGCAAAAAATAGGCTGGCAGAGAAGACTTTTATCCTGTTGTTTCTGACCAAAGCCTGCACACATACCTGTAATGAGGATCTGTCACGAGCAGGCCACCATTTAAGCCTTTTTACAGCAGTAATTGAAATTCTTTCCCTACAGCTGACAAGTGCTTTGCTTCCATAAGTCCTTTACTGCACATACCTAATGTGGAATTTCTACAAAAATAAAATGGAACAAAACACCCAAGCAATGGAGAAGGTACTTCTGAACAAAAACGGCAATGACATTTATAATAACTGCAAGTATATCCATATTCTGCTTCAGCAAGGGTGGTAGGGATCTGCCAGTCTGCATACTGAGCAGGGACACCACATGCCTTCCATACAAAATGGTACAGAAACGATATCTAAGTGTACAGTGCAGCTTTGAGAAATTTAGGGGTTTTTGCTAGACATTTCTGCTATAGAAAGACTTGCATTTAAAGGTAACCTTGCTCTAACTGGCAGAAATTTCTAGATAAATGGATCCTATATTTATTCTTTCAATAATAATACTGAACACTGAATAGAGTTCTTAGACATTCAGAGCACTTCATAAAAATTAATTACTACTTAGGCCATCCTTCTGAGGTGTGATGGCTTCACACTTGTGCACACATGAGGACACCAGTGCACAAATGGATAAAACACCTTGGCCAAAACCACAGAGTTTACTTACTGATGATCCTAATTACCAAAGTGTGTGCACTCGTGCATTTCCACGTATTTAAATGGACTTATCCTGCAGAGCCTTGCCCACAGCACAGGTTTTTGCAGTGAAGCAGCCTGCTCGGTTGGTGCCTTCTCATATGCGTTGTCCCATAAATGTCTTATAAAAGATACCAACTCAAAATAACTGAAGAGATTTTTTTTTTGTGAGATGCATGGGTTAAGATTTGAGGAATAAAAGCTGTGGTTCATTCAGCTAAGGAACAGAAATCCCATTGTTAAGAAGCTGTGTAGTGTTACAGTGACAATTCTTAATCAGACCGCCACTGAGCAGCGTTTCATCAGCCCACACTGGAGCACAGCAGACCTGAGGTACTGTGTGCCAACAAATGCTATAAAATCTGAGTCTTGACAAGCACACAAAGAGAGAAATGGCTTTGGAGCTAGTGACCGAGACACGTCACCACCTACAACGTGACTGGCAGCCCGCTCGACCTGCTCTGCTGAACTGAAAGCACTTTAGCAGCCACTCTTGTTACCAGCCGTTTTGGTGATGGTGGCTTTTCTCTGTATTGGGTCACTGGGTCTGTTCCTCTTCATCTGAACAGTAGCAAAAGAATATATTGTCATGGGAACAAATAGGTATTTTTAGTTTTTCTGCAAGGCTGCTGTCGGTGGTGTCAGATGAGGTTTCAGAGGGACACTACAATTAGTCATCAGCACGTTACCTGGACGGACAGCTTGCCACTGACGTGTCGGGTAAAACACTTCCAGGTCCTCGGGATCAGCGTCATCATCTGTTATTGGCTCTTTCCCACTGTCATCTTTTATGTCGCTCTCTTCTATTTTTGTAAGGGCAAATTCCTTTTGGACAGAAGAGATTCAGCTCATTAGCAATCGCATCTGGGTAATTTAGTGCCGGCTGAGAATACCAAATTTTTCCCTCGCCAGCAGATTTTTTTTTTGACATCCGAGATTCTTTCCACATGGTTAAATTTAGATTTAAAGTATATTAAAGGTTAAACATGCATAACTAGCATGACATTTGTGCTGAACAAAGCAACGCAGCTTATTTCCTATTCCAGTGCAGGCTGCAGGCTTAAAACAAGCTTCTGCAGAGCCTCACCTATCTTATGGCTGGAGCCACGAGCCCTGACTATTATTAGGCTTGTGTAACATTGTAGGACCCTGCTTTTCCTTGCCTAAAAATATGTCAAACTTCAAACTTTTTCAGCTGAAATTTTCCACACTACTGGAACGCCTCAAGCATTTTTTTTTTCCTTAAATGCACTTATTTCAGGCTTGGAGAAAATTTCAACCAAAATAGTTCAGCTATTTCCAAAATAGGACACATGAAAACACACCGACCGGCCCGCACGATGAAGACACAAGCATCCTTCTCTTTGCACACACCAGTGCCCTACAAGCCCTTTCAAACAACGAGGCAGTGATTACACACCACTCACCTTGCAACTGCTGCACGTGGACACAGAGGTGTGGTAGAAGAGTTAGAAGGAGGGGCATGGCATTGTATAAAGGGAAAAACAGGGATGAAAAGCAGGAAAAAAAATCCTTGCCCCCTAGGGAAAGCTCAGTATTCACTGCAAGGTCTCCCTAGGGAGCTGGTGGGAGTCACCACAAACCTCAAAGGACAAAATTATTCAGAGTGCACAGCAAGTAACAGCCTTGTACTATCTCACAGCAGACTATTAAATGCTTGGGAAGCTGGGTTTTGCTATTCTGGTTTTCACAGGAACAGATAACCCAGTCCAGGCTAATCATCCAGATAGCTCTGTTTCCATTGCAGGGAGCATTATCTGCTTCTGATATTGCCAAGAATGACACCACAGAATAATTTCAAACAACCAGTCCATAGGGAAAGACGATTCCTAATTGTTGGCAATTAGAATAAGAGTTACAGCCAGCTCACTTCATGAAGTGTTGTGATATTAAATCGTACAATATTTTCACAGAGGGGAAAGAAAAAACACAAGACAATTAAGAGGTTAACTGGAAGTTTCAAGCCACGTTCTGCCTTCATTCCTTTCACTCCTTGGAAAAAAGTGTGTATGTTTAGTGGCAGAATCTGGATGCTTTGTATATAAATATCTATTATCTGGTCAAGGAGAGTGTTTCTGAGCAAGAGAAACAGCAGCCTGAGCAAAACGCATCCAATTAGCCATGATAGTGGTAACACATCAGAATGGTTGGCAAATCTATAGAATGTTTCTATTTTGCCTGTCAGAAAGGGATTGAAACTTCAGAAATCCACTGGAAAAACAGAGCTTAACTCCTGCTTTCGCTCAGTGCATTAAAGGCTTGAAATTGTTAAGATTATGACAAATGGTTAAAGCTCAGTAACAATCATAAACATAAAAAGCCAGATTCTACTGATGAAAATCAATGTTAACATTTTCTGAGCCCAGACTCAACAGGACTGAAATAAATGAGTGAGCGCAGTTATTACTTAGCTTATTTGCACTGCTATATTATTATCCAAGAGGGACTTACCCATCCAGTCCATTGTAAATTTACTGACAGGCCTCTGACTGTTGTATCTGTTGAAACACTTAATGGAGATGGCTGATGTTTATGGCCTCTGCTCAAGAGAAGAGCCGTGGTCTAAATGTTCTATATGGGTAAAAGGATGCGTCTTGGCCTGTTTAAATGTAACTGTCATAGTTTGGCCCCACACTGCTTTGCAATACCCTGTATGTCATTAACATTTCCAGAGTGGCGAAAAAAGGCAACGCCACACAAGCCTTCATTTATGCAGTGACAAACTGCATCATTATGCAGAATCCTTTTTGGTTTGTTTTCACAATTAAAACAGTAAGATGTTTTCTAAAGACCAATGGAAATTTCCTTAAAGGTAAAAATCCTCCTTCCTTTGATCAGTCTGAATCCACTACAATAAGCTGAGGACCCTCGGCAGGGACAGCTGAGACAACCTGCAGCTTGTTCTCAGGGATGCAGCCACCACAGAGCCAATGCAAAGGGAGCACAGGAAAAGGGGATCTGAGAGGTAACTACCTACTGAGCTGATGGGATACGTGATCTTCCATGTCAGGCTGCCTGCCAGGTCAGGCAGGTGGCACTGGGTGGCTGTCCCAACACTTGTTCCCCAGCTTTTTCCTACAGCTGAGCTGACTACACTACGCTCCAGCCTCCTCCCTGCCCTCTTTGCAACGAAGACAAATTATCACATTGGTACCTGACTCCACACGGATCCTAGGCCTGCAGAGCATATACTTTAATCTGCCCCTCACGTATGCTCCAGTTAATAGCACAGCCCACACAGCCAACAGACCAGCAAGCTGCGACACATTAGGCAGGAGCGAGCATCCAGGGACACGGGAGGCCAGTAATCCCCTATGTGGGTGTTGCTGCAGAAATCAATTTTAAGCCACAGCATAAATTAAGCTAAATAAAAACCCACACACAAAACCAAACATCCAAACAAACAAAACTCCACTCTGCACTGCTACAGAGTGTCCTTCATGCAAGCACCTCGAGGAAACTTTCCAGATTTGATCTGGCTGGGCACCTGGGCTCAGAAGCAGAATGGGGGTAATTCTGCATACCTGGACAAGTGCAAAGGGCAGACAGCTTCCACCCACCGCAGCCACAGCTTCAAAACACCACAAGTAGCAAAATGCAGGCAAGTGAGACATGTGGACCCAAGAGGGTGCTCTTCTAAACCTGACTCACTTGCAGTGACTCAACAGAGGCACAGCTAGCAGTATAACTGAGGCCATCTCCTCTTGCCACTAGACCACATCATTAGCTCTGGTTCTTGGCATGTGACAGCCCCAAACAGAAAAAGTGACACAGCAAATAAGAGCTGCCCAAGAGCACAGCTCCCTTTGCAAACCCTTTTAACTGAGCATTACAGTGGAATTCCTGAGGCCAAGGCAAAGTCTTAAGAAAGAAGCCCTTCTGAAATTTTGTTATTGATCAGCTATTGAGGAGGGAAGCAGTGACTGACTGACTGCTGTCAGACTCCGTGTGACATTACAGAATGACCAAGGGAGGTGTGACCCCACCAGAGAGGCTGAACAACCCTCTGCAAACCTGGCATCCACACACTTACGGGAACTCTCTCGCTTAGGCTTGACCGGAAAAACACAGCAGAAAGCAGTAGGAGCAGCAGGCTGACTTTGGCAACAGTGCAGGGGAGACCGGCCCAGAGCGACATTGCCACTCACCTGCAAAGCAAAGGAAAACAAAACCAAGAATACTTAAGAAGAAATTTTCACAGGTTTCAGCATTCTTTACACAATATTTTTCATCACAGCACAGGTTCAGGAGTGAGAGGTGGCAGGACACACCAGATCTAGGTGTTAGTTCACAGATATCTCATCCGGGGGAATACAAAAGCACAGGGTGCCGGTTTTGCTGCTAATGGAGTTTATGGCAGGTAATGACAAAGTACTCTGTACTGACTCTGCAGGAGCTCATGTCTCCTGGAAAATATGAAGAGACTACCAGGAAAAACAGAATTTGGTTGTGGTCCTGCTACAGTTTGTTTACAACATTTTGCAGAGATGAAAAAGATTTACTCAGCAGTTCCTGCAGCACGAGGCTTCCCCTGCCTGTCCTGGCCTTCCCGCTCCACCACTCCACTCCACCACGAGCAGAGGGACACGGCACCCACACAGCCAGCACATGGGCTCTGGGCAGAAGCAGGCCAGCAGCCATCCTAGTCCAGAGCTGCAGGTTTATTTATCCATTAAAGGGACAGCCACGCTCGCAGCGTGCAGCTCAGCCCGCCTGTCCTCACGCTGGGTGGGGAGGGGAGCAGGCTGCCAGCATGCAGGCTGGAGAAGTATTTCCTTTGATTGGCTCTAAATTTACACGCTGCTAAATTAAACTAAATGAGGTCTTTTGAAAGAAGATGGGACTGATTAGTTCCGTTCAAACACTCCTTCATTACTCATCCCTCCATCAAGCCTGCTCCTACTCCTATCCAGGTTTTAAAGAATTTCCTCCCATACACGCAGTCCTAAATATCTTTCTCCCTCTGCTGTCCATCAGGATGCCTAATAGCATCACAGCTTTTCTCCTTCGTGCAACCACCTTCTACTTCCACAAAATCAAAAATAAGCTTTAAATAGAGCTGTCAGGACCAAATCCATCAGCTCTTTCCTCAGCCAAATTCCCTGATGCCAGCAAGGCTTACACCTGAATTGGCACCTGGGCCCATGAAAGCTCCTAGTGCACTCCACCTGCTGCATGCAGGAAGCCAGGATGCTGGGGAACCACAGGTGCACCTGACACCAGCTCCTGCCAAAGGAGAAGGACAAGGAACAGCAGCTTCTATCTTGGAAGCTCACCAGCCCTCAGTGGAATTATTCTTTTAGTGTTCTTCCCCACCCATGAACTTCTGTAATTGCTTTTTGAGTAGATGTAGCCCAGTATCTCTTTGATAGTCTCCTCATCTCTAACAGGGCAAAGAATCACACCAAGGAAGGTGGCAAAGTCAACCTGTGGCCAAAATCCACACTTCTCACCCAGGATGCCACCAAATGCAACACGGCTACAACCAACACCCACAGATGTACTTGTGGGCTCAAAATCCATCAGCTCTCAACAAGCCAATGCCACACTCAGGACCTCAGAATGACCAAGACAAAAAGTTCCCACCCTACTCACACCAGAAGAAACTGCTGATTTTTACATAGGAAATACATTGTTCTCCTAATATTAGTGGCAAAAAGAAAAAAAAGAAAAAAAAATGGCGAAGCTGGGATAATGAAAAATTGATGTATCCTGAACATTTCACCTGCAAGTCTGGAAACAAAAAGAGAAAAGAAGAGAAAGAAATTCAACAAAGCAGTGGTTGAAAGAAAACGCGCACTCCCATATAAATAGAGCTCACGTGTACCGAGGAGGCTGGTAGCAAGTGACAGCACAGCCTCTTTAAAGCCTACAACCTCATGCTTGCCTGGAACACGACATCTGCACAACAATTAGCAGTCTGCCTCGGTCCCAGGTAGGCAGGAGGAGCTAACATGTGAAACCTGGGGGTTTGAAGCTCCTGGAGAGAAGCCCATGCAAGCTCACACCTCATTATAAGGCAGACGTAAGCAGACGGTGTGAGAGAACTTCCAAATGGAGTATTACATACATACAAAATATTTTTGGACACAGCCCTGCAGCTGGCAAAGCAGAAGGAATGGTAACTGTGACCCCACCTGCACAGAGAGTGCTGGCCCTGATTAGAGATGAGGAGACAGATGCCATTTGGGGATGCAGCAGCACCCACATACAGCTGTGGTCAATCAGTACTATCACAGCTCTAGGATGCCCACCTCTGCCAATTCCCCTGGCAAGGAGCAGGGTGTTATTTTCAATCCTCCTCTTCTTGTGGTTGAAAATCATGTAACTGTGGAAGGGCAAAGGGTCACCCTCAAAGAGGTGCCAGCTCCTGGCAGCATCCCCTTGTAACAGCAGGCAGTGCGCCTGTCCCACAGCTCGCCACCAGCTTCGCAGCACAGAACAGTTGTGCCCCATGGCTCCAGAAAAGCTCCCTGCACCAGTGGCTGCAGAAACTCTAACATCCCCACTGCCTTCTCTGCTAGGAGATATTTTACTCATTTCACTCACTAGCTGCACATCAGTAAGTGCTGCACAGCCCCGCAAATGCAGTTGCTGTAGTCATAGGTGACAGTTCAAAGGAAGTCAGTAACAGGAACATATTTCATTAATGCCTTCTGCTGCTGGGAATGCACCACTCTTTCATGTCCTAACTCAAAGCGTGTACCGCGCACACTGTGTCACTTCAATAAATCTATCCAAAGCCTCATCTGAATTCTGATCAGCTGCTTCATAAGAGCACACAAACATCTCAGAGAGCTCCCCAGCCCATGCTCTGTTTTATGGCCAGGAGGAAGCAATAACAATAAGCTAATCCTTGTTCTCATCTAGGGATCAAGGGTGCAGCATGGGAATTGTAAGCCTCACAAAATAGTGTGAAAATTTACTAGTTTCAGGCTTGGTACCTGTGCAGCCAGCCTTCATTGAGACTGCCAGTGATAAGGAAATGGACCCATAGCACTTCGTGTCTATAAGCAGAAATCTATATAAAGTTCCTCTTGCTGAGCAGAGGCAGTAGGGAGAGTGATCAAACAATGAAAGGCACCAAGGAATACATCCCAGAAACCCTTCAGCTGAACTGGTAACACACGCTAAGCACCCAGCTCTTAGGTTCGAGCCAAAGTTTGACTGCCAGTAACAAACAGTTCAGAAAATTGTTTTAAAGACAGCGGTGTAAATTGGGATGCTGGACTGAGGAGATGCACTCAGGACAGCAGATGCTGCAGTGCCACGTTACAAGATCCTTGTTCAAACACAGTATCGTCTCAATGATACTGCATCCATGGCCACGGCCAGCGTGACATGTGAGGTGATGTGGCAACGCAACAGCGAAAGAAAAGGAAATTCAGCTGATCCAACCTAAAATTTTCTTTCTTTGAACAGTAGGGTTCCCAGATCCACACTGAGCACCCATTTCTGTTGATGTGCTGAAGAGTGGAGGAGCAGAGAGAGGTCTCAGAAGCAGCCCAGGGTTAGCAGTCCCACCTCTTCTGACAAGCTGTGCAAGGAGGAATAGAAAGGTTTTATCTGAAATCCAGCCTTAGTGAATGAGAGGAGACATCCGTGGACAACCAAAGTGACCACAACACATGTTTTGCCAGTGCTGCATATGTGGCAGGATGCTCCTTTCCTCAGGTCTGCCTTGGAGCAAAGGGATGCTCCTGTAAGGTGCACACAAAGCCAATCAACAATTTACACTAAGAAACCTGTGATTTATCACAGACTGCTCCATAAAGGTATCAACAGGCTGCTCACAGGTGACACAGTTGTGCTGAGCAACTCAGTTGCTCAGAAATGGTCTGGGTAAGGTCCTCCCCAGTGGCACAGGTAAGCTATTCACCAGTAAACAGCCTGCTACTCATGGACCAAGCCTTCAGCCTTCACACTGCTGCTCTCACATCAGCCAGGAAGAGCAGCTCCCAGCTTGGAGTAACTCCTGCCGGCTGGTCCAGGGGCACTGCCTGGCAGAGAAGTCTGATGTCATCAGACAGAATATGAGAGGTCGACAGCATCCTCGACTGTGGCTCATCAGTGGGTGAGATTAATCATAAAAGTACCATCCCTTGTCAGTTTGACAAGTGTACTTATCCTCTGCTTCAGTATGTTCATGTTTAAACTGTTTGTGTTTCATTTAGTATGCTCATGTTTGAATTGTTCACATTTTGCTTATTATGCTCACATTTAAATCATTCATACTTTGCTTAGAAATAGATGCTTCTGTAGTTAAGTTCCACTGCTCCAATAAAATCACTGAGACCTGGCACTTGGTTTGCTGTCACTTTGTTGTCAGGTATCCAGAGAATGCTGTTGTCCTCTCACAGTGCACTTCCCCCTTTGCTTCAATCCAATGGGCACAGCCCTCATCTCCAACAGACACGTGGGGTCGTTCTGTAAATATGGCCATTCTCTTGTGATCAGGATAAGACAGGGCAGCCTACAAACACCTGTCCCTTGGGGGACACAGGCCCAAGTGACCATCTATCTGCTTAACAGATCACAGTTCTGAAGCTCTACCTCAGCTCTCCGCCCTCTGACACTGCATGGATACTGCATTGTGGCCTCTGGCATCAAGCACAGGATTTCTTGGGTATCACCTAGAGGTGGGAGCCACGAAGAAACAATCTGCCTGTATTAAAAACCCAGAGGTTCTTATAAGAGAGAAAAGGCGCTGTGCTTCCAAACATGCCTACTTGCCAGTGGCAACCTGCAGTGTTTCAGTGTGAGGGACTCAGGAGGAAGATGCCAGCCAAAGAGCAAGAAGCTGCAAGAACCTCAAGGAGCAAATAAACCTCATTCCCTGTCTTTGCAAGACAGCTGCTGGAATTTGCACAAAACTTCCCTTGCTGCAACATGCCCAAAGCTTCTTTGTCAGACAGGTCCTGAGCAGCAGCACTTCCAACAGGAAGCAGGAGTAAAGCTTCCTTCTACATAAAGCCAATGTTATAATGTCAAGAATCTCATCCCAGTGAGACATTGTGATGTCCCCAGCTCCATGTGGAGCCCCATCACTCTGACAGCCACCAGCCCCTGCCAGAGGGACAACCTCAGCACAGTGCCTCACACACAGCTAACAGGACAGCACGCACAGCCTGTCTGCAAACACCTCACC